GTGAAGCTGCGAGTCACCGAGGGCTGGGATGAAGAAGGCTATCACGCACCGAATTCGCTTCATTACGAAGGAAGAGCTGTGGATATCGCAACTTCCGATCGTGACAGGTAAATTATCTGTAGTTCTTTTTTTTTCTCAAAAAAAATACAGTACTACGGAAACATTTACGCAGAAAATGACTCTCGGCAAAACTTCTTACGATGATAAGCAAGGGTTTCTGCGCTGTATAGCTTTTACAAACTGGGATCCATATTAAATTAGAAATCTTTTGGGTAGCAGGTACAAATTTTGAATTGTTCGAGAAATATGGCTTAAAAACATTATTCTTGAAAAATTGCGCTTTTGTCATCAAAGACCCTGTTGTATAGTACAGAAATGCATGGAATATGAATATAAGTTGATTTTTTGAAACGCTCAGTTTTCCAATGAATATGGTTTTCCATACTTGCGAAATGCTGTGAATTGTTTTTTTTTTCTATTTTGAATTCCAAGCTTTCCGAAATCACTACATCCAGCAGTTTACAATTAGTGGAGGCTAAATGAAAGTTTTTGGTGGCAAAAACTTTAATTTTCCGCCCTGGAAAAAATTTGAATTGTTCCAAGTTGGCTTACAAACATTCCAGTTGACAAAAATTGCGCTTGAAAAATTCGTGTTTGTCTGCAAAGACCTTTTTGTACTACAGAAATACATAGAATATGAATAAGTTGATTTTTTTAAAATGCTCAGTTTTTCAATGAATCCGGATTTTCTGTACAGTACTTGCGAAATGCTGTTGGAATTTTATTTATTTATTCAAAATTCCAAGCTTTCCGAAATCAATTTTAAGCAGATCTGACTGTTTAAAATTAGTGGAGGTTAAATGAAAGTTTTTGGTAGCAACAACTTTAATTTTCTATCCTGGAAAAAAATTTGAATTGTTCCACACTGGCTTACAAAAATTTTAGTCGAAAAAAATTGTGCTTGCAAAATTTTGTTTGTCAGCAAAGACCCTGCTGTACTACAGAAATACATGGAATAAGAATAAGTAGATTTTTTTCAAATGCTCAGTTTTCCAATGAATACGGATTTTCTTCATTTGCGAAATGCTGTTTAAAATTTTATTATTATTTTGAATTCCAAGCTTTCCGAAATCACT